ATTGCCATATTAGATTTGGGAAGAGAAAGGATTTATGGATTGCTCTCTTTGGCTTACGCGGATCTGACCTCAGTCTGGATTTTTCTTTAGACACCTACTGTCTTTGACAGAGCTGGGCCTAAGGCAACAGTGACAACTTCTTGTCTCTCGCGTCGCAACCAGAGAGAGACAAATAATTCAACATGTGGGTATAACAACATAAACAACGTATTAGACTTGGGCATACAGCGTAGAAACGGTGGAGTTCTCATCTTGCTTCCTGTTTTCTTCCCATGCATGATTTCATCAACTTCATCATCATGCACAGGGTGATTCTGTTACTATGGTAAACAATTTGTCTCTCTCACTTTATTAATAGTCATTCCAAACAAGTAAAAAAAAAAAAATCAAATCAAATCTAGAAATTTAGATTTATGCCTTTGGCAAAGGCAGACTTTTGTAGATTAGCAGATATAACCGCCCTACCCGGAAAACCTTGCTATCCAAGGCTTGTGTTATGTTTGCACAGATGTTCACAAATAAATTCAGTCTCTGATTATTTTCAGATTAATGGCATCCTGCTCTATTAGAGCATTGCCAAATCATCATTTCATTGCCAGTCTTGCAAGGTTTTGTGCTTTTTTTTTTTTTTTTTCACTTCCTACAGCTCCAACTCTTTAGAGTTTAGACATGTGATTAGCCAAAAAACTGTGTTTTCCTTTCTAAAGTCTCGAGCAAGCCTTGTCGTTAAGCTTGACTCATGTCACCCTAGGGGCCCAAAGAACAGGAGTTAATCTTCACATTTTCTTAATCACTCTCAAGACTTTTAAGGGTCTGACTCATGATTTCTAATGCCTACAGTTGGCAATACTGCATATACATTACATGTGTCATATCATCCATCTGCCAGTAAGCAAAATCTCTACGAAATGTCCAATTAGTTACTGCTCATACTGTTTCTAATAGATTATTTTTAAAAAAAATGCACAAATATCTGATGCCAAAGAAGTTATATCACTGCAGTAGTCACTCACAGCAACAGAAAATAAATTCCTCATTAATCTGATTAAAAACAATTAGTAAAATCTACCTCCTACTCAGTCATGCATGTGAAACCTAAACAGAACTACTTTAGATTTCTTAACTCAGCAGCCTACAAAACAGAAGGTTGTAAAGCCACAAAAACTCTTACTAAATACCAAGTATGGAAGCATTCACTGTACTGCTGTCATTAAAATACAAGTGTAAGAGGCAACTTGTGAAGGTGTATTCCATCTGAGGAGTCTCTCACGGCATGCTTACCAACGCCCCCAGTCCACCCATGGAACACCATGAGCACCTTCTATGAGGCTGAAGGCACTTGGCGAAGAGCTGCAGGTCACCTCCGTCCTTCCACTGAGACAGACACCTTCGTCAGGTCAGCCACGTGACAGCAGATTCGTCGTATACTGTATTTCTAAGAAGCTTCTACAAAAAGAAGGGCAGAACATCTCTTGGCTCATAACATGGGACGGTAGCATTTCATATGTTTGAATTAAAATTGATGGCAAAATTTGATGTTTTGATTACTCATGTTGACATTTAATCAATTTTACACTGTAGAGAAAGGCCCTCATTTACAATACTTGGCATCAAGTAACGAAGACAAATCAGAGGGCCACATCTAAAACAGAAAACAGAAATACATACAGCAGAACTCATTTCAGGCATATTTAAACTATCTGACAACTTGACTAGATATTTGCACCATTCAATTCACCCGACTCTTTCGTTTTGGCTCTACTTTTGAGCCTACAAATAAAATCCTGATTATATTTAACACATATTTGATGATTAATACCTTGAAATGAATCACAAACATCTAAACACTTAAGAGAACTATGTGCAACTTGCTTAGTCTGAGTCAGAATCATTCTCCTCTCCACGAATCTCATAAGCACGTTTTTGCAATTTTCAAGACTACTAGAAAAATATAAGCAAGGAAAGAAAAAAGGGAGTGGAGTAAGAAAGTACTTGGGAGATACCTTTGCTTTGAGGACTTTAAAGATTAGTAACTTAATTATTAGGTGGGTAATATTAATAGCCTATAATTAAAGACTAGAAAAAGTTTAGTAAGTTGAACATCTACTCAAGATTCACAGATGTTACAGGCACCAGTACACTTCTGCTGTGATGGAAATCTCTGCTGTTCATTTTGCCAGGAACTAAACACAGTTATCTCTACATTTCTCGCTATATAAACACACTTTGTTTTCTGGCATCGCACTGAAATATCCCCATGAATATCTTGTATGATTCAACACTTTAATACCTGGGTTGCTTTCCCCAGAAGTAGATCCAGTATCTAAAGTCATTCTCAATCAAAGCCTTCCACCATTTCTAGCAAAAAAAAAAAAAAAAAAAAAAAAAGGCAGAGAAATCACTCCATTCATTAGGCTTTTAAAGGCCTATGCTGGGATATATCAGTTTGCATCTCACAGGTTTGTTCATTCTCTTTACGATGATGTTAGCCACTTCACATGATGTGAGCAACCACTCCCAGTTGACACACAGGAGGAACAAAATGCACTTTTTGGTCCTTTTTTTTTTTAAAAAAAAACCCCAGATTTCTCTTTTTCATCTTTGAGCACGTGCGTGTACTTCAAAGCCTTTATTCAGCTTGCTATAATCCTTTGCCTTAATGCAAAAAAGTCATCTGCTATATGAATTAGAAGGGGGAAATACATAATGCATGCAATAGGGAGGATGCATTGAGTTAGATCTTAGTAAGCATCTACATCTGCCACTCAGTCATTGCTGATATATATTGCCTCAGGAAAATGCTATTCCAAACTTTTTTTTGGGAGTTGGGGGGGGTGGCAGTGTTGAAGTAAAGAACACCAAAAATTGAGGCAGAAACACTGCACTGGTACCTCTGACTGTAGAAGTATAGTACCTGTATTCACTAATTTCATACAGAAAAACGATGCAGCTGTACAAAAAGATGAAAAACCCCCCAAATTCCTTGTTTCATAAGCAAATGAAAAAATTGACTCTGTAAACATAGCATCAAGGCTGTACTGATTATGGTCAAACTCATTATGAAAGCAACACATCAACTAGAACTGTTGTTCCAGGGAACCTCATTACACTGAGATATATTTACATAGGAAAAAAAAAATAGGTAACTCGACTTGTTAATGCAATTAAATGCAATCACCTCATACCACAAAGGGGATTCTACAGTACACAGGACAAAAATACATTTCTTGATGCATTTGGCCCATGTATATGCTTGTGTTGCAGCCATTTGGCATTTTCTCCTTGAATTTAGAGAGCAGAGTTTGTGGGCTCCGAAGTGCAAACTTGCTTTCTAGTTCCATTAGTAGGTCAAGAAGTTAAAAGCCATCAAATATACACCCGGCCAGAAGTTAAGATGTGGCTGTCTGTCCAAGAGCAGGCAGCGCTGTGCTTTTGCACAGCTAACAACCACAGCGAAGGCTTGACTTGAGACCCGGGTAAGGATAACATACGTTGCTTCCTTCCCCCTGGCCCTGAAAAGCTTATTTCCACCCCAGTATACACGCTTTTGGGAAACACGCTGAAGACTCCAGAAGGGAAAGCGTATAATTTTCAAGAAATGAAGGATTTAATATATACATATATATTTTAACACCAGTAACAATCTCCCCAGTGCATTTCCCAAATGTCTGGATAACACTTTTTACGATGCAAACATGAAAAGCAGTTAACAGCTTTTTATTTCCAATCAGCTTTTTGTTTCCTCTTTGACTGCAGACATTCCGCACAAGGTCATCCCGCACCACGGTTTGACGAGTTCCCACCAAACATTCCTGATGCAAGGGCTGCCCACTCCACACGCTGTTAGCCCACAAGAAACGTCAAGCAAAACCCTAACATCTGCATAAGCTCGCTGGCAGAAGGGGGCACGGGACATACTTTCAGTCAGCACTTGGTCACACCTGCCTCAGTCATCTCAGCAGAAGAGGACACTCCATGACAGCCTAAGCTTTGTAGCAGGAGCTTGGAAGACATAGCAACACAGCAGCAAAACGAAAGGCAACACAGCAACCCTAGATAGGGCACGTGAAAGAAAAGCACGATTTTCTCTTGAAGCACGATAGGTAGGAAGTAGAGCCTACAATTAGGAATAAAACTGAAGAACACTGAAGCTCTGTTCTGCTAATACGGTCATCTTTGGTGATCTTTACAATCTCTGCAAAGCACCTTACATCCAGGCAGTTTCGTACTTCTGTGGCAGGGTGCCAGGTTACTTGGGTACCTTCACGCCGACAAAGCCAGAGCAGGTACTGAATTCGCAGTACCTGCGCCGACGGAGCACCTCGGGCTCAGTGAGGGAGGCGGCAGCACGCTCCACGCGCCCCATCAGCTGCGTTACCGGCTTCTGATCCCGGGGCTGCCATTGCTCCCCTCCGCCTCCTCCCAAGGATGCTCGCATTCAAAACCTGATGACGCTGCCAACTCTTGAAGGCAAGTACAAGGACTCGCCCTGCAGCCGAGGGATTTACCAGTTTAAGCATCCACTGGAATTACAATGGCATAATTTCTTTAAATACACGAATGAAAACCCCTTGATGTGGAAGCAGAGCACGTGCGAGTTACACAAACAGCTATGCCAGCATCAACTATTACTGCCCATCCTTCTGATTTCTCCTCTCAGCGACTCCTCTGCAGGAGTGCGTCTCCCAGGTCTACGTGTGAACACTCCCCAGTCTGCTTTAGTCGGTTTCTTGCATTTCTTCAGCCAACCTAAGCCATTTTGACTGAATCAGGTTAGAAGACATCAATAGGAGTAGCTTCTATGAACAGCGACCGAGTGGCGAACAGCTAAGTGCAGAAACCTCTTCCACCAGTTCAGATGAACCCCATCAAAAAAATCTCATCATTCAAAGAGTTACAGATTTGCTCCCTCAGAATAACTGTACTATTGAGCTTCCCCCAGCCCCACGAGCCCTTACATATTCCATTCAAAGTGAATTTAAGGGCCACATCGGTAAGTCTCTCTGTATTTTAAGACTAGTAAGAACAACCCTCTTACACAAGCCTGTTCAAAGTTTCTGTGAGTCTCTTGCACTGCTTCAGCTTTAAAAAAAAAAATTAGATATAAAAATAGGGAAGCAGTAAAAGAAGAGTGACAGTAGGGAAGGAGGATGTCAAAAATGGACATTTTTCTAATTCAATATATAAACCTAAACTTTTTAAACTCAAAGAGACAGTGCGCAGGGAAGTCATGTCAGTTACAAGTGTCAAGAAGCACAAAAGGGTGCTGCTTTTGAGAAAAGTTTTTCGGTTGTTATGAGAGCAAGACAATTTGTAATATTATATCCGATAGCAGCTGCAAGAGAATTTTACGAAAAAGTTTGTTCACATTAAGACTACACTAGCTGGACCTTCAAAATTCCCCCCACACACACCCAGTCTTTTGAGAATCATCGCAACATATTGACAGGGCAATACCAACAGTATCAATAACCCCTGCACACAGAAATTGTCATTTTAAACAGTTAGACAGTCACACAACAAAGTTTAAACTCTGTTCATAACTAGCCTTATACTGACAGGTACTAACAGTGGAAGAAAAACAGATTTGCCACATTGTACACAGTCTAACATTCCTGCAATAGAAAGGATTAAGGATGGAGTTTCAGGCAGTGTTCCAAGATTAATCCCTTGTTAGACAGTCATTAGTATTTTGTTGAATTGCCTTTTTTAGAAAAACAGGGTCTAAGCCTGGAGTGAAACATGTTTGCAAAGTGAACCCTGAGGTACTCTGATTCTGCTAGAGATTCAGAACTTCTGTACTTTGAAAAAGACTGAAGCTTACAGAATTTTTTTTAGTACAACAGAAATGCATTTAAAAAAAAAGAGTAGTACTACTAAATGCTGATCTTCAGAAATAATGATCACCAAATCTGCATGCATCCATGCCAAACATTTGTTTAACAACCAGTCAGTTTAATAGACTTTTTACAGAAGTTCTTCTTAAAAAGCAGAACGTAAATTGATAAAACCAAGGCAATCCAGATCTTTTCAGCTCAAAAGCTTTAACACACCAGTACACTCCAAAAAACGAGTGACAACGAATGTCAACAGTAAATTTCCGATTTCCTTTGGCCTCTTAGACTACGCTTGCCATTTACATTTCAAAGACAATTCCTCCTAACTCCTAGTTTCTTTGACTCTGGGAGGAATGCATTGAGTCTTGCATTACAGGTGAGAAACTCTTCTGAGCTAGGAAGGATTACAGAGTGATTGATGCAGTAGTCTGAGCCTGGAGTCTTACTATTTCCTCCCAGTGCTTTTAAACTCTGTGTCTGTCTTGACATAGCAGAGAATTCTGAAGGCCAGAATTCTCAGGCACGGACGAGGTTTTGATGACACTCAAGACACGAATTATATTTCAATTAATTTCTACTGAATGGGTTGTCGGATTTGTAGGAACTCAGTTGTCACTGAATTCCTATTTCCAGAGCTAAAGTGTTTAAAGCTGTCTAAAGAGACATCCTTCAAGCCTGCAGAAGAAAACCCAATGATACAGAAAGGGCTTCTCTGTGTTGTCAGTGCTCCCACCTCTTGTTATATGCACACTTAGCAATCTCAAAAATACTAATCAAGCACAAACAAGACATTTTAGACAGTCAAAATCACACATTTACACAGCAGCCACTGTGAACTTTATTAAGAAAAAAGTGTTTGCCAGTTAAACTGCCATCACTTTATTGACTTCTCTGCTTACTTGCAGAAAATCAGTTCTTTCATAATGGCTCTGGAAATCATTTACTGCCAGCTAAATGTTGACCCACTGGCAACGTACGCTCTCCTTGGAACTCTGGCAGCCTTACCATGAAAAGAGCTATATACACCTCTGCAAAAGGCAAAGTAAGCAACGCATCTTTCATTTGAGCAACAAAGTCATTCTTGAGGCAGATGTCAGCTCACCAAACAGCAACACCACCGTTACATTAAGCAATCTTTTCTATCATGACAGTTCCATGAAATGAAGTGCAATTTGTGAGGGAAAAAAATCCGTAAGATACCAGTTATGCATTCTCTTCATATAACTGTGTGGTCAAGTCTTATTTCTCAGGCTGGAGAGGTTGAGCTAAAACAAAGCACAGCATGATGATCTATCTTCATGAAAATGTCCTGTTGCTAATGCATCTGCTTTTGCCTCCTTTCCTCTTTCCTCTAGTCCTGTGCAGTCCTATGCATTAGAAATCAGAACAAGGCTTCTTCATTCATCTGGAGTCAGAGTTATAGTCAATCCTCTAAGCAACTCAGAATGCGGTCTACTATACACATCTCTGAAAAGAAGTTCTCCATTCCTAAGTAATCCAACCATCACAGAAGATATTTCCCTATTTCTTCAACTCCGGAAGCTGTTTTAATTCCTCTCTCATCTTCATCTTGTAGCCACGTGGCAAAACAGCATTGTCATGGGCCACGTATGGTAGGATTTAATCTTTACCAGTAGCTTCAGTAGATTGCCCGAGGATTTTTAGTACTGTAGTAGGCTTCACATGCAGCTACATAAGCAGATTCTGGGAAGAAATCATCATGGTATTCTGCTAAAAACCTGAGAAGAAAGCACACCAAAAAAAGAAGAGAACATGAAACATTTAAGAGAAAAACTATCTTCAAATTAATTTTTAAGCTCTGCCAAACCACAGCCTGGTAATTAAGAATTATTACACTTTAAGATTTGGCACACAAAAGGCTTGCCCTATTTTTACAAGTTTTACATAGTGAGAAGCAGCCTTCCCCTATCATTCTCAAATCCAAACATCATTAAATAAAACTTGCTCAAGCTCAGTAAAAAAAATCCAGCAAGTGAACTGGCTGGACAACCAATGTACTTGCAGAAGATCAAATAGCAGCTTTTTTTTTGTTTTTAAACATTACCTAAGGAATTGAGCAGAAAGGCTACATTACATGACCCATAACAGTGCCTAAATAAGCACATAATTTCTGGCAGTATTCAGCGGGGCAGGTACTGCCAAAAGGGAGAAAGATCTCTCTTGTATTACAAGCAAGGATCCAACTGGCTCTGCCACAGACTGACACTGCATAAGCTATCATAATAAACATGCAATAGCTAAGTAAATGTCAAACTCCACAGAGTCTTCATTCACGCAATCCTAAGTGCATTAAATACTTTAGCATACTTTTTACTTGTAAGTATTCATACTGTGCTAGTTTCTCATTGGGTCCAACAGCAGCTTCCAATTGTATTAAATAGCACAAAGCAAAAAGGATTACATAATTAATGTTGAGAGAATTTTTAAAAACTTCTATGAAAACTATTTTGCTAAATCAGAAAAATTGGTTTTAGTATTACAGCATGTTACAGCATACCTATTTCCTATTCACAGAAATAAAGGCATTTAAATAAATGAAATAAAACCAACAGTGAAATATTTTCCTCTGAAAGAACGAAAGACAGTCAATCAATGCAATGAACTACTAAGCACTGAATCCAAATTTGTTAAACTTTGGCAAAAGAACAAACAAAAAAGTTTTATTCTTTTCTTGAACTAAAAAAATAGGACAAATCTAGATTAAAACCACCAATATTTGATTAATACACTGTTTGAACCACATTACTTCGTGATTTACTAGCCCTTATCATTAAAACCATTCATCACCTACTTTTCTAGGCTTACCAGGCCATAAATGGCTCTAGTGCTTTATAACATGTGTTCTTTTCCCATGAGATAGCCTTTAGAAAATAATCCGAAGCAGCACAAAAACAATTCACACAATCAGATCCTCCTAATCTTCCCTGAAACACGTCATCCATTTGCACTACATACACACCCCTTACTCTAGGAAAACCACTACCAGAGTGTACTAAAATTATAGCAACTTAGAAGCTAATAAAATACCCAAGTCATCAACTGCTATGACCTCTGGCTGTAGTTAGCTACAAATCACTTTCTGGGATGTGTGGGATTGGTATGAAGCGAGTGTGGTAAGGCCTAAAACTAACAGACCGGAGTAACTTAACACACTTAGATTGCACAAGATTGAGATGAGCTACAAATGGAATTTAATTAATAATTCTTCATTGACACACGTTAATGACCTCAAGAGACAAACAACCTATAGGAGTCGATCAAATTCTTAGAGTCACTGGATACCATTCTGTAAAACACAGCACAACGTGCTAGATCATACGAGGGAGTATATTCTAAGACCATCAATCAAACAAAGAAACCTTCAGAGGGCATTGTGTAGCTGACAGTTCCAAGAATTTTAAGGGCAAGTAATGGGAAACAGGTTCATTTTCTCTTACACATTTCCTGACTTTTGCTTAAGATCATCAGTCATAAATGCCAGTTCGGTGCAAGATAAAGTGACAGCTGGTAAAGATTTTAGCCGAGATGCTTGTGGCACAGCTACAACTCAAAAAAAAGCAGGCAGAATGCATGCAGTCAAATGTACATCTCTCTGTTCTTAACGTCACAGTTGTGAAAAGCAGAATACCCCAGAACTAGCAAGTACAAATTACCTTCTGCAGAGAAGTGGGAGGAAACAGGCAAGAGAGCGCAAGGTCAGCTTCCATCCCAATCCCTTGTCTATCTGTATATGAAGAGCAGTAGCCCTTCTGAAGCTGCTTTCTTTTCAAACCACATCGTAGTGCAGGAAGCTGGCACAGAAATATTAGGAGCCTCATGAGACTCTTAGCTACTGGATATTTCACTAATGCTTTGCTCTTGGAAAAGCTGAAATAGCACAAAGATCAATTACACTGGCACCTGCAAGTCATGAGCCAAGATTTAAAAACAGAGGGAGCTGTACTTAGCAAGCAGAGCCAACGTTCAGCTATAGATCAGAAAGCACATTGCTATTTACCTATTCCAAAGTTGTTACATTATTTTTAACCTACAAATCTGCCAAGTTCAGTCACCTGTTGCATTACTGCCTTTTTTGTTTTTATGTTTTTTTACAGAGTTCACGGCATAGACCTATACAGTGAAACTGCTTACAAGTAACCGAGTTTTGAGATGCACAGTCCACACAAACATCCTGACTGCACACTTCTTTCTCATCATGAGCATCCACACAAAGAATACTTACGCTTTCCACTCATGCTCAGAACATAAGAGGCAACGTGACACAATGCAGCTGTTTCCCTCTCTACCACAGGTTCCTAGAAGTGCAACTCTTCAGAAAGGACTAGAGGAGATGGAGACAAGGGAAACGGATACCCGGGCAACCTAGCTTGAAGAATTCCTATGTTCTGATCTTCAAGTGCGGCAGTCTGTAAACAAGCTTACCTCAGGTGACTCCAAGCAATAGCCTCACAAATAAACTACCATCTGGCTGAAAGTTATGCAGGCAGATCTACCAAAAAGAGGCACAGAACTATCACTATCCACATTAAAAGGCCGCTTGACGTACATATCAGGAACATTTCTCAGAGTCACTGAATTAGTATGAGCTTTAGGGGCATCATCTGGTAGCAAAAACATCCTTGTCTTGGCAGCATCAACACAACCTATTACCTGAACAGTCTCTACATGAAAAAAAACATTCTAAACATCAGCTACCATTGCATGAATAAACTCAGATTCAGCCTGAAAAGTGACAATTACGAAGAAAGGAACACCTTAATAATTTTAAGAAGGGCAGCCTCTGCCATAAAGGTGTAAGAACACAGACTTAAAAGTTTCCAGGAAGGTGACATCTTACATACTTTTGCTACAGAGTTCTAGAATGTAAGCAGATGCTTTAATGAGATCAGTGGCCTGGGCTACATGCTGTTTGAAAGGCGACTGTAATGATTTATCTAAAGGAATTTGCTTAAAGAGCAAGATGGGTTCTAACTCCATGAGTCACCTCATCAAAAGAAATGTCATTTGCAGATTAAGAAGCTAGCTCCTCTCCAAGACCACTACTCAAATGCAGGATTTGAAAGCTAAAAGGCTGTTTCACACAAAGGCGTATGCCACCCTGCCCCCTCCCTTTGATAAGCATGTCTCCATCTGGAAGGCTGTTCAGGGCAAAAGATTGCCAACACCTGCCCCCTACCCCCTCCCTTTGATAAGCATGTCTGGAAGGCTGTTCAGGGCAAAAGATTGCCAACACAAAGTTCACCATAACCCCAGTGCAGTCAACCTAACAAGTGAAGTGAAAAGTTTTGGATGTTTATTCTGTTATCCATTGTTGTAAGAACCATGCCAAAGGAACAAACAGCCTTGTTTTGTTGATTGGACTCTTGTCACTCATCCACATATAGAAACCAAGATCATCTTCCTTGGCCTTTAAAGGGCAAGTGGAGAGAACTCTGAAGATGCCAAGCTGCCAGCATAACGCTTTCAGTAATCAGACTGAGTGAGTGAAAAATTGTAAGTGGTAATTTCTAGTAGACCTTTTGGGAAAACAGTCCTACAAGAGCTCAATCCATGAGTCCTTGGTTGGTCTCAAGGATGAAGACCCACTTTTGGCAAGGCCAACACAGGTCCCAGAAGCCACCTAATAAAAAAAAGCTACCATAACACACTATTCTGGGCAATATTTTGGGCAACCTCTCACTTTAGATGCATGATCCAAACCTCTACTGCTATGATTAGGAATATGCTCATTCAAGTACCTAGGCACCTGATGATTTGCTAAGCAGAAGGATGACAAGCAATCCACACGCTGCCATTTCAGGAAGTATTTTTGGCAAAGCAATCAAATTTTAGTCAGCAAAAATAAATACACATGAGCAGATTTCTGCAGACCAACCAGACAACAAAAGCCTACTGAAAATAAGAACCTGTACAATACCAGGTACTCACTGACAAAGAAACATTCAACATAAAGGTGCCAGAAGTTTGAGAGCACCCAAAATGGCAGCTACCTAGTCAATGAATACAGCAAAGCCCAAGTACAGCGGTAGCAATGCCCTAAAATAAGGCATATACATACACTGTGCAAGTAGAATGCCTTCATTTCAAAATGTTTCAAAAAGCTTTAAAAAAAAACTCCTTTACATATTTGTGCTTCTAAACCCACACCTGTCCATTTACACTCAGAACCTCGATTTTCTCACATTTAGGCTCCAATTCCATAAAGTTTTCTAGTATTGCTATGCTGCACAGGTACTTTTTGCCAAGTAACCAGTTAATCCCCAAATTGAGAGCAAATAGAAAAGCCCCAATCAACATAAGAAACAGTAACAGAATTGCATTCTTTGTGATCTTTCAAAAAGTGATTTTTAATCAGTTGACACCTTGCAACTTTCTTAAGTCACAATGAGCAGGAACTCTGTCACAAGCGACTTCACCTAAATAAAGATGTTTTCTATTCCATTCACCATGTCCAGTGCTTCATTTTTTCATTCTCGGAAAGCCACTAATAACCTCTCATTAATTGCACATTAGCACAGACTAGTGGTCATAATTCACCACTGCAATTACATGTAACAACTACACTCAAAAAATATTGTGCTATCAAAGCCAGAGATCTCTTTCTTAAGACAACTTGCCATCTTTCTATATACACACTTGATTAGCACAGCCCTCTAATTTGGTCACATTCTGACATGCTTCCTTCTCATAAAATATTCAACAGTATTAAAATACTTTTCTACCCATGGAGCAAAGTGGCACAATAGATACAAGCAAGTTGTAAAACACCAGGAAAAAAAATGAGATCTAAAATGAAAGTGATATCTTACAGGACATACTGAGTTTGAAATATTAGTGGGTTTTTAAGAAAATCAAAGACCATTAAGAATGTAGTTTTCCATAATCTGACATACTATATATATTGGCCTCATCTGGAAAAGTATATTAGAATTTTTAGAAGCATTATTTTAGAAATATTTCATCACTTACTCATTCTTCTGTATTTCATGAAAGTCAAAATACCTGTGGCTTTCTGAAGTGCTGTACCATTTTGTTTTGCTTTTTTTCCTAAAACGCAAACAACATTGACTGAAATTACCTCAGTGAAGATGGGTCTTACTATTCTAAGAATAGACATGCTATATTCTCCTAATTTTTAAGTATCTCCTATTGGTCAACAGTCCTGAGAAGTGATCTCTCTGATCCCAGAACAGTTTTACAAGTCAAGGCTGTGTTCAAATCAGTGGAAATGGCAAAACAAAAACTGGCACCTTCTTGTCCACCATATTTCTCATCACTTAAGCAGCCTCTGGAGGCATGCTAGCCACCTTGCAATGCAGAGAAGTCATATAATACAGTGCATACAGCATTTTATTAAAAATATGGCTGAAATAATAAGAAGGCAATATTTACTTTATCTCAAAAACTATTAACAGGCAGGGATGTTTAATCAGGGGTCCTTTGTTAGTAAGATTACCAGTTAGTAGGCACCAGTTACTGTGTTAGCTTCCACTGCTTGCTCCTGAAGACTAAACTCAAACTGTAAGTGAAATTCAGTGAAACCAGCTGGCAAGTTTGTCACTAAAGTCCATTTCAGACTGTTATTCTTCTGCAAGTATTATGAATTATTTCAGACCTAAATAATTTGAAATGAAGACCAAGAGTTTTGTACTTAATTTGAGAAACTAATTTTCTTTACTTTTGCAAATTCTATACCTGAGAAATCAACTTTCATGTTCTCCATGAAGAAATATTCATTACGCATACTTGTAGAAAGCTGCACAAAGGGTACAGCTTCTACTTAACATGAAACTCAAAGATGTATTTCATACATCCCTTAAAGAGATACGTTGTCTGGGAAACTGAGATCAATCTTGTCTAGCAGCAATCTGAGGCCATGACTGGAAAATATTACCCATGTGGCATCTCAAAGTGAATTTAATGCATCTATCAAGGACTGAGTAAACTCAATAAAACAAGCTTCCAGACAAAGTGTTATATTAAATAAGTCTCAGTTTCTCAGCCCACATGAGATTAATAGTACAAAAGTTAAATGAAACTGTAACTTTCAGCTATAAAATCATAATTCAAAATTAAATCAGTATCTATGCCAGAACTAAATCAGTTGTGTACCACATTAAAGTTTTATTTTAAAATACATAAGCTACTTATGCTTGGACTACTCTACAGAAGCAGCTTTATTAATGCAAACAGATAGCTTCAATCCCCGTTCTGCTATTAGAAAAATAAAGAGAAGGAGAGTACTTCAGCTTGTCACTCAAGAGCAATTCACTAAAAGAAATTAGGCCATCTTAAAGCAAACTGGCTGCTATCATCTAACGCGTACAGACTGTGTAGGACTGTTTTTACCTTTCCAAAGGTAAGCCTGAGCAGAACTGATAAATATTTTTAACAAACATTCACTAATCCTTTCATTCCCCAAAAGGAAAAGAGAGTGTGAAAATTGAAGAACTAGTACAGGATGTCACCTCAGCCTCAAGTTTTCTCTTGTGATGAGAAACAGATAATGAAAAAGTATTTCTGTGATAAAAATCAAGTCTGAACAAGTTTCTAGAAAATGTAATTTTTTGATCACTTTCAATGACATATGGGACAAAGAAAGAAATACCCAGATGAAAGACAACCTGAAGACCCATGAATGTGTGCTGGGGAAAAAAAAAAAAATCTATTAATTTGCATTGTTTTCTATGTTACCTGTTTGAATACACAGTAGCATATCCAGTAAGGAAACTAGTTTAAGAAGAATATTTATCACAAAGCTACCTAAGACTGAACGCTTCCTACAGCAGTAACTGTAACTTGGAAGCTTTTTCAAGGAAGCCTCTCAATTTGATCAGTTCTGACAAAACCATAGAAATCATTATTTCAGCATAGAAAAGAAACCTCAAGAACAGCAAAACATAAATGGCATTGGCTTAGAAAGCAGTTAGAAAAAAAAAAAAAACAACACACAGCCCTCAAATATTTTGTTGTACCAGGTATGAGGTAGCCACACTATGCTTGCCTTGAGGGGCTCATTTTGGTTTAGGTGTAGTCTGGTCTTGAGGACTGAATGCCCCCTAGTACTGGAGAGCACTTCTGCTTAACTGTTTTCCAAAAGGAATCCAGCTTGTGTACTCAGAGCACTCTGCAACACAACACAAAGCACAGTAAGCAGGAACTACAGAGAGATTTGCTTCAAAAGCAAAGTTCTGTCTGACCTAAAAATGCTGATGTGGAAGTATCTTCTGATTTTTTTTTTATTTCCATTTATAGATGACTACACATTTCCACAAGACGGTCAGATGGAAAAAACAAGACACATATGGATACTACCACTAGAACTCTCAGTTTCATCACCTCCCTACTTGTACAGGGGTGGGGGACATTTCCTCCTTCCCTCTATTCCACTCTGCCACAGCTCATCCGTAGAACGGGTATGAAGAAACTGCATTTAAGATGCTAAAGAGTAGTTACCTGCTCTGACCAACACAGAAGAATCTGAACAGGCAGAGGTCTGATAAAAACTGATTTGGTCCACAGTGAGTTAAGCACCCTAAATAATACTCACTCCAAGCAAAAACAGGTTTCCAACAATAAGCACTAATGCTGTCCTGTTTAACTTAAAAGATATCTTGAATACTAACAAGGATCTGACAAAACAAAGATGTAAAAAGGAATCAATAAAAAACTTTAAGTTAAATGCTTCAAGAGAAAAATTTTGTGGAAACTTTGGACATTTGAGGCATCTTTTATTTCCAATAAACAATTAAAGTAAAAGCATTTGAAAGCTTTCATCTCCCTGATCTCTAACAGGACTTTTGATATGCTAGTGCCACATTATGTTACTTTTCAGTATGGGGCTACTTAAGAGTCTTTGACCAAAACTAAGTTAGGAGTCCCACATTTGTTCCACATCTTTACCATTTACAACACTTTCTCCTAGAAGTTTTCCTTGGCAAATTTATTTTCCACTGTATTGATGCTGCACAACACAGTGCCACACTAGATATCTAACTACCACTACAATGTCATGCAGAGATATCAGCTAGATAACCTGACAAACAGCTGATCATGGTGCAGGTATGACCATGATGACCCCAGCCATGGAGCTAGTGTGGTCAGAAAGAGTTTGGGTACCCCTACAAGCCACTGCATCACAACGTCAAAACTCTCAGATTATGCTCTCAAAAATAACAATGCAGAGTTTGTCTTTCTTCATAAAACATGCTGCTTAACCAGATCAGAGTTGTCACTCTATACATACTAGCAACAAACTTTTATACTTCAGTTCTCTATCACTCTGTTTATCAACACTTTAAGTAGGGAGTTCAGGTTCCCGTCAATTTGAATTACAGAACCAAAATTCTTGTATTAATCTTTACTCAAATTGTTATTATTAAAATCTTGTGTTAATTTTATCATACTCTGTAGTTATGGAAAATGAACACCTTATTTTAAAAACCCTTCATCATTCCAGGACACTTAGATCTGTGTAACAATGCAAACACTGCTGTAGTACATTGTGTTACATTACCTTAGAAACATTTCGAAGTGTTTTACTAAAGCCTTTAGGTTTTTGTCAGGAAAGCACATCTTCCCCAGTATTTCTGGTAGCTTTACTGTAAATAAGAGAAATAATATTTATACCTATTCTTGTAACAGTAACTTCTAATTACATTTATCTACTGTACAGAAAGGAAGAATATAAACATTTCTTCTCCCTGCAGCCTCCACTTTTCTTTGCAAGTTACTCAGTGATCTTTCAAAGCCTTATGAAAAAGAAACATGCTGAGAAAGTGAATGCTGCTTGGCTTAATGATGTTTGACAGTGTATTGGAAGTAATGCTTGTTTGCGCTTGTTAAATGAAGGCTTACAGAGACAGTAAAAGATAACCAAATTTATGAACATCCTACAAGTTTTAAACAGATCAAAACGTGCATTTCTCCAAGAATAAAACTAAATGTGATAAAGCAAACAGAAAATCAAAGATATGATCACTGAAGACAAAAAAAAAAAGAAAAAAAAATGAAGCCATTTTGATTGAATACAGAGTTTTGCATCAGTTTACCAAACATCCGTAGCAAATGTTGAGATCCATAAATATATGAGGGAGGTGGTGGTTGATCACTTGGTGGGTAATTCTCTGGCATCAATTTCCAGGACAAAACCTAAACATAAAACATGAAAATGTTGGTTATGAAATCTTTATAGCACCATAAATAATTTAGTCTGTACAGAACTTCAAAATCAAAGATGAAATAAGTAATATAAACAAAACTTTTTCTTACATAGCCCTACTCTGAGGTCCACGAAACCTTTAATCATTGAATCTAGGACAGTAACATAAAAAACTGTTACCTCATTCAATTCATTGTTTCTTCTACCTTCAAAGCCAGTAAAAACCGCACTCCCCTCTTTGCTAGGAGTCAAAGTTATAGGTGAAGATGATCCACTGTGGACAGGGGTTTCTTCAAAAGAGAAGGAAAACAAAAGAAATAAGAAATAAATTGTATTATCTGTTTTATGGAACTATAAGCCATTAAACGTAACTAAGGCCTGCTGCTAAAATGTGTAAAGTCTTAAACACTGGAATTCAATAAATGCTATCCTAAAGGAGGCTCACAGAAAAGCAGCTCCTTGAATTCTGTTGAGAAGTACTAAGAATATTGCTTTGTATTTCTCCCTTTGGTATAAGGCCTCAGGGATAAATAATTGATACAAAAAGTAATGAATACCCACTTCAGTCATTCAGTTCACAGCCCACATGGCATTAAAAAGAAAAAAAAAAGAATAGGACTTAAAATCTTGTTTAGAGCAGCATTTTGAAGAGCAAAACCTACTTTTTTCCAGGTGCAAAAAGAGCTTTGGCATAGAAGCTGGGGTCTCAAGATGCCGTCGTTTAGGTTGTGGGGAAGCGCTGCTTTCCGATAACCTGTCACAGTTAGAGCTATGGCGCGTAGAACGTCTCAGCGACTGCAGAATTTCAGGTTCAGCTTTTCGTCTTTTTGGCGTGGCAGGCTCCCCTGTTGTAGGCTGGCTGTCAGTTGACTGAGGCGTTGGTGGATTCAGTAGAGGAGGACTTGGGGAAAGCTCCTCCTGATTTCTAGGAAATAAAGGCAGCTTTACAGAACTGATCAGGGCTCCTCCCCAAAAAGAGATTCTTCTAGTTTCACAGATCTTGTTAAATACTTAATTCAGATTAGACAGTCTCCTTCCAATAACTATCAAAGCGATGAGGCCTTCCACTATTTTCCAGAAGTATATTTATTTTCAAATTTAAAAGTTAATGAACACAAATTTACATTTCAATGTAAATTTTTTCCCCAGAAAGTTACAGCATAATTCCACACCAGTCAGTACAAACCCCTTTTGAAGTTAACCAGACAGAAATTCAGAACCTGAACTCAGGCAAGCAATTCACAGAAAAGTTCAACATTTTATCAAGACAATTTTTAAGTCAAAGCCTGTGAGAAATCATCCTATTCTGAACACAGCCACATTCTACTGCATTTTCCTCAGGAGATAAGCAGTACTAGACTCTGTATACCCACCCTACCTGTTAGTATTTGTTGAGTTTTCTTTGATGGGAAGGAAAAATTTTGATGAAGTCACCTTCTTAAATTGAGCTTGTTCGTAAGGATAGAGTAAAATTAATGGAAGTGTGAAGTCAAAGGTTATTCTCAGCCCATCCACCATCTCTTTACATAGCTCAACACTAGAGAAAAAAAAGGATTATGAATTTCAAAGTTGCATGTCAAAATTTTGCAGTGTAATTGTAGAAAATTCCTTTTTAGTAACATTTTAACTACGATATGCCAACTTCATCACTAAGTAATGATGAGTGATTAAAAGCATACTTAAGGAGACAGCGATTGCTGTTGGTAACTTCAGACAAATACAAATTTTAAAAGTCTGCTTAACAAGGCCAAACGAAATCATACAATTGTTCTGTTGTATTACTATAGCCTCGATCAATAACATTTACTTTACAGTAAGTAAAGTTAGCTTTTTCAGGTAAACATTATTTTGTTTTTCCAAGTTTACTAGGCTTAATAAAAGAGGCATCTGCCAGAAAAAGTATGTACTCAATAGATTGAATCTGTCTAAAAGGCATGTGGAATTTGAACTACAGCCGCTAAGATGCAGTTAAGGCTATGCTTAAGAGATATCCAGTGAACCAACAAAACCAGATACATTTGCATTGGAGATCACTTTCCAATGGCCTGCTCCTGGTAGCCAAAGCACATTTAGAGGCTACTAGGCATTTCAGTTTTGGGCTTGTGTAAAAGGCTCACGGTGGTAGGTGGTGAGTAGATGTGCTGTTACAAGCAGAACCAAGAACACCAAGTCCAAGCCCACCTCCAACACCTCTCACCTCTATGAAGGTATTAATCTCACATCTCGAGTGCATATACATGTACAGTAACAGTAGTTTGATTCTGCCGCAATGACCCACATTAGAAATTCCATACCTTGTATTACCATTCCATACCACCTGCTAAAACTACTGCCTTTTTTTTTAAAAAAAAAAAACACCACCACATTATATATAAATTGGGTCAGAGGACCATCATGTGCAGAAATTCCATCACATCCAAGAAGGTCAATTACCTTCTGTGTTACAGCAGTAAGGGCAATACAAAGTTGTATAAAAAAAGTTGTCAGCTGAATCTATCCTGCTTAATAGATCAGTGAAATTACACACATTTTCCTTATTTAAGCACCTTCTTTATTAAGGAAGTCACTTAAACATGCACCTTTAAAAATCGTAACGCGTGTACAACTTTCTTTTCATATTTCTGATGTCCCATCTAACTTCTTGTTTGGGAGATTATATTACAAAGAAGGAAAGTACCACTAATCTGTCAAATAATGAATGACATCAGTATAAACCAAGACACTGACATAGACCAAAGTATTGCAAGGAGTAACATAATTATGCACCACTGAAATAGAACATGGTAAGAAAAGTCAAGATTTCTCTTTGATAAAGTACAAGATTTCACCCCAGCGTAGACTTCGATAAAGAAGCAGTCTCATCTAATTTTGAGAATCTTTAATGTAAGAGAAAAAAACACACCCACAAACAACCCTACACTTCAAACACACAGGATTAACACACTGCATTTATAGCATGGGAGAAGAATATATAGCTCAGCTGAGAAAAAAGCAATTAAGACGCAATCAATTTTAATAAACAGAATTAAAAAACACCTGCATTTGGAGTTCTACGTGTTTGTATGAAATTCATACCTTTATAAAATTTCAACTTCCTCAAGTTTTATTTAAGCAGGGAGTTCTCATATCAGATACTCTCTCCGTGCTCAAAAAATTTGTTACGTAGACAACAGCAACACATTCTTCCCAAACAGGTCATAATATTCACAAGAACTTAGATAATAAAAGGGGATATTGATGCTTTTGCATAGTGACTTTCCAGATTATAGGGACTCTCTCACTGATAAACAAGTTATCAGTGTTACTGTACTATGAGTATTTCTCAAATACTTTAAGCCCCATAAATAGACATACATCACAGTATAATCTCACAGAAGCGAACAGCTTTGAAACAGAACACTGAATGCAAGGTCATTCTGTTTGTGACAAGAGCGCTGGACTAAAGATTACCTACTTCTTCTCTGGGGGCACATAATGAAGATTCATATTAGCATGTGGAGTCATCTGATGGTGCCGAGATCTTTCGTTGGCTGAAAAAGCAGCATTAATAGCAAAATGTTTCACATATGACTCCAGGATGGTTATTATATTTGTCTGACAAGGAAGCTTCACTAGCTGAAAAAAAACCAACAAATTAATGTCTTATAAAAACAATTAGAGGTATACCAAGCTAAAACAGGAGCTTGTAATGTACTGATTAGTTTAGTAACTCTCTATTGCATGAAGTTATTTCAGGACTGATTAATTTGAACCCTTAAACTTGATCTTTGATCAAGCCTTTATACCAACTGGAGAAACAAAAATATGGTCAGGTTAACAAGCTTACTACTTTTCCAGCTTTAAAAAACAATCTGCATGCTAAAACACAACTGAGTACTGAAATGTTACACTCAAATACAATGGCAACTCACTGCTCCAGCTACAGAGGTCTGCTTCCTACACTCTTTTTATTCTTCCTTACACTGTCTAAGCTCACCTTTGCAATAAAGTTCAAAAAACCAGGAGTTGTTATATGCAAGAACTACTTTTGATGCCCTCCCCACCCCCCCATGCACATTCATTTCATAGCTTTTACTTCATACCCGTTTTCTTCTATTAATATAGTAACAGTCTTCCTCAAGCTTCTTTTTCAAGACTTCAGGAATTTCTATGCTTATTGCTCTTTCTTCCATGTCCCTTTTTGTGTGAGTGTCTTGTTCTTCTTTCTACAACAGACCAGTGCAAGAAACAACACATTGGTTGTGCTTATAAATATTAGCAAAAAAGAACTACTACAGTAGTCAGGATACAATATAACAATCAAGGTTTGTCATGCAAAAAAAGTATAGTAAATATTTAAGTGGATAGTAGCCTTACTGTAAGCAATTCAACAATACTGCTTTGAAGTCATCTGCAAATTAATTTGTTTTTTTTTTTTTTACTCTGGCATTTGCTTAAGTAATTAACACAAAAGAATGAACAGAAATTTGTTAGGTTTTTCTGCTTCAGATCACTCTGGTAGTAATATTGCACAGGCCTTCAGAACAACTGGTTTTGCTGTACTTTCTTTCCAATAACATAGAGAAAATATATGCTTTTTGTTGAAGTCAGTCTTCTACATTTTAATTTAAGACCAGAGTGGACATGCCTGTTCCACAGTAAAGCATAACAGCAAGAAAGATCCTGCTTCTGTTAGGATTTGTCCAACCCACATAGACTACTAAAAGTTTATAGCACCCACAAACCTCAATAATCTAGTTTGCTATGTTTTCTCCACATAAGCCTTATGTGTAGAAAGAGAGGGAAAGAAACAAGTATGTATTTTAGATTAGTATCAAAGAATTCCACAAGAATATGGCATCTTTTATAATTTTCAAAAACTCAACCATGGTAAGCGCCAGGAGTAAGAAAATTATGCTTTTAATTCCAGCTAAGTAACCAGCTGTGGCCTATATTTAATCTACTTCAAATTTCCCAGAGTTTCAAATAAAGATATTTAAATTCTATTAAGTTAAGGAGCTCATTAATATACCATTTCTGTCCTCTCTTCTATGTCACTTTCTTCACTTTTTATTTCTTCATCTGTTCCTTCATCACTGTCATCAGAAGAAGAACTACTTATAGCTGTGTAAAAGAGATTTCACATATTTATCTCATATTATTACACTGCAGAGGCTAAGACCAAACAATTTCAGGCCTCAGTGAAAAAAACCCAAAACAAACAAAAAAACCCCAAACCCCCACAACTAGCTTGTTATATGTAATGAGGACAAATAATTCTAATTGAATTAAACACACAAGTATTACAACACGCTATAAACTTCTTGTCTTACATATTTAAAAAGTTTACAGGAAGTATTCTTGCATCCTCTAATTGAAAAACATTCACTTTTAGAAGCTCCCTACATGTCTGAGCACCTACAGATCTTTTCAATTTTTATTGGACTTCAGTTCTCAACAGGGGATTAACGCATTAATCATTCAATCAGAATGTCTGGATCTGTGCAGTGACAGTTGCCAGAACATCAGTTAAGTGCCAGCCAGTGTTCCTGCTGGTTTTCAAGCTACAAAGAAAAATTATATGAAATTAAAAGAGCTGGCTTGAGAGTGAAATCAGCCAGTCAGCTGACAAGAAACAACTCGTTGTGCCAGGTAGACTGGGGAAAAAGAAAATCTTATTTGGCCCCTAAATCAGGGAAACGGTCTTGTTTCCTAACACCAAACAAAGAAAACTGAGGGCTTCTTGCACCTGGTAATACTACATTCAACAAAGCAGCATTAAGCTCCAAAATCACCAATTAGAATAGTTGGGTGGAAGTGACACGAGGAAAAGCCTCTGGAACACAAGAAGGAAGAAAACTTACTAAACACTTAGCATGAAACAGAGTTCACTGCATATGACTACCTTCGTGTATTTCAAATAGGACTGTGATACTCTTGTGTCATCCTCATAGCAAGTTACAGCATGCACTGTACCCCTACCTCAGAAAGTTAAAGGCACCATGCCAGTTATCAAAGAATGAAAACAAGCTCACAGTTTTCGCTACTCT